TCTTCTTAGGGCCCCAGCTGTTGATGACAATTTTTTACAAATTTTTTGTGTGTGTTCTGCCCATGTCAGCTTTTCGTCTATTAAAAGGCCAAGATAATTATATGATCCGACTTTTTTAATTTGTTGAGAATTTATGAAAACATTAATATCTATAGATGGTTTATTTTTTTGCTTTAATAACTAGGGATGCACCGGATCGGGTATTTTGCCGATCCGGCCGGAACCGGAATTTCGGCCGCTGGCCGGACCGGATCGCCGGAATTCCGGCCGGATCGGGACCTAAATTTAAAATGTATGTGCTTGCCTATTTTTATACGTAAAACGTTAAAAATATTGAGGCTGATTTATTTTTACTTTTTTTTAAACTAGCTACAGTATGCAGAGTGTTTATTACTATTAATTTTACCTAGATAGAAATTACTGTTTATTTAAATATTAATTTTTAATTAGAGTTAACAAAATTAAAACAATTCTACTCATTCAATTGGAGAATAGTAGCCACCTGCCAATAATAAAAAAATTAAAAAGAAGTCGGGGAACCACAGCCGCCGGTCTATCATAGGCAAGGAAAAACGCACACCCTTTACTGTTGACCAATTACAAAATATATCTGGAAAGCGATCCGGCCGGAGCGATCCGGCCGGAACGGTAGTTCCGGCCAACTGGCCGGATCGGCCGGATTTAGTGGTACCGCCGGAATTCCGGTGCATCCCTATTAATAACATATATTCAGTCTTCTCCACATTAATGACTAGTTTATTAGTCATTAACCACTGTAAATATTTATTTAAATCATCATTAATATTGTTTTCTAGCAAAGTGTTTTTCTTCTCAGAGTAAACTAAGACTGCATCATCTGCATACATAAAATATTTGCCTTTAAGACCTGCATACTTAAGGCTATGTACATACAATAGAATCTATTGAATAGATAAAAAATAGGTCCCAATACAGAGCCTTGTGGAACACCTATATTTGTGCTGTTCCAATTACTACAAACTTCGTTTACAAATACACATTGAGATCTATTTGATAAATAAGTCTTTATAAGTTTTGCCATAACTCCACGAAATCCCATATTATATGTTTTATTACATAACGTGCCTATGTCTACCGTATCAAAAGCTTTTTTTAAGTCTATAAAGACACACTACATATTTCTTTAAATTAAGTTCATATTTCACATGCTCAATAAAGTCCACAATTGCATTTGAAGTCCCACTTTCGGATTGGAAACCATATTGATATGGGTCAAATTTAAAGGAATTATTTACGAACTGAACAATCCTTACTTTGATGAGTTTTTTATTTTAGAAAAAATACTTAGTAAGGCTATAGGTCTATAATTATTCATATTATCTTTGGGACCTTTTTTATAGAGTGGAATAACCTTAGATTTTTTTAGCTCCTCCGGAAAAATTCCTGTATACAATACTTCATTTAAAAGTGAGGTTAGAGTGTTAATAATATCAAAAATGCATAATAACTCACTTGTTATGTTGTCATATCCGGGAGAACAACCATTTTTTATTGTTGTTAATATTTTAAATACCTCAGCTTCATTGGTTGGTAGCATAAAAAAGGTTTTATTTTGATTTTCCTCAAGAAAGGGCGTATTATTTACATTAGGTGACACGTTTTCCACAACTGTTTTTCCAATAGTGCTAAAATGAGTGTTAAATTGATTTGCAATTTTATTTAAGTTAAAAACATCAACATTATTTATTTTTAAATGTATTTTTTTATTTTGGGTTTTATTATTTGAAATTAAATTATTTATAACAGACCAAGTTTTTTTGTTGTCATTGTTTGCATTATGAAAAAGATTATTTATTATTATTTACTTGTTTTTTAAGTTTTTTAAAGACCTTTTCCAGGTATATATTGTTTGTCAATTTCCATCTTTTATATGTTTTATCTCTCTCTTTTACTAAATTGATAAATGCCTAATTAATCCAATCTTTTCCAATTTTGCGCTTAACTATTTTTTCTTTGGTGCAATTATTTTTTTCTACTTGTATTGTATGAATTAATTCACCAAAGCTTTTTGTTTCTTTTTTTATTAACTTCTCTGACATTTTAGCTTTAAAGTTATCAAAATTCAATTGTTTTATGATTCTTTTTTGTGTTTTCCAATTTTTTATGACAAACATGACTGAAACAAACAATAATTTTTGATCAGAAAAACAACAATCTTCAGGAAGGACAGTACATTGTAAATAATTTGAAATATCATGATCTATTAGTGTATTTGTGGAATTTGTGTACGTGTGGCATTCTTATCAGTTAATTTATTTTGAATTATATACCCATTCATAACTACTATGTTTTTATAGCGTTCCACCTGATCACTGTTATTTATAAGATTTATATTCATATCCTAAAATAACACTGTGCGACAAATTTTGACCTTACAAATTGAACTGGGATGAAATGTGGAAAAATCGAATCTATGCAACCCCCAAAACTAATCTTTAAAGGGGTTTTGCTAGTTTAGCTCGAATAATGGAGATATACAGGGTGTTTCTTTTAACTTGAGACAGCTCAATATCTCGAGAAATACGCATTTCACGGAAAAATGTCTTAAATAAAAGGTTAATGTGACCAAAGGGGACATTATTTGGTGCTACCGCTAGCCACCCCCTACCCCTCCTTAAGGGTGAAACGGGGGGTAACTTTGGAAAGTCAAATGGAATGACCCGATTTTTTTCACAGAGTTTGGTAGTACATAAAAAATGAATAAATTTTATTTGAAAGTTTTTTTCAATTTATCAACAGATGGCGCTGTAATTCAAAATTTAAGAAAAAGGGGTTTCCTTGTAAAATGTATTATTTGAAACGTTTGAAAAACAAAAATTAACATTAAATTAACAATAGTCGGCTCTGAAAACAATTTATAACAAATGTTCGAAATGTCGTCCTTCCATTTCGACACCAAGTGGAGCACCAGCGTCCCTGGTCGGTAAACGTTTGGTGCGGTACCTTAAGCGAACGATTAATCGGACCCTTCTTTATTGACGGTGCATTAAATGGCGAAAAGTACCGGAATTTTCTAGAAAACGATCTGACGGACCTTTTGGAGGATGTACCACTAGCACGGCTCCAAAACATGTGGTACCAGCAAGATGGTTGTCCTGCACATTATTCGACAATTGCTCGAGAGGTGTTGGATCGGGAGTTCAATGGCCGGTGCACCGCGGTGGATCGGTAGACGTGGTCCAGTAATTTGGCCTGCTCGATCACCTGATCTTACGCCACCAAACTTCTTCCAGTGGGGTTACTTGAAAGAAAAAGTTTACGCTGCAATTCCTACAACTTGGGAGGACATGGTGGAGCGGATCAGGAACGCCTGTGCGGCGATACCGCCCGACATGTTGGCGCGTTGTGTGCCAGAATTCATTACCCGCATTCAAAAATGTGTTGAAATGGAATGACGACATTTCGAACATTTGTTATAAATTGTTTTCATAGCCGACTATTGTTGTTAATGTTAGTTTTTGTTTTTCAAACGTTTCAAATAATACATTTTACAAGGAAACTTAATCGTTCGCTTAAGGTACCGCACCAAACGTTTACCGACCAGGGACGCTGGTGCTCCACTTGGTGTCGAAATGGAAGGACGACATTTCGAACATTTGTTATAAATTGTTTTCAGAGCCGACTATTGTTAATTTAATGTTAATTTTTGTTTTTCAAACGTTTCAAATAATACATTTTACAAGGAAACCCCTTTTTCTTAAATTTTGAATTACAGCGCCATCTGTTGATAAATTGAAAAAAGTTTTAAATAAAAGTTATTTATTTTTTTATGTACTACCAAACTCTATGAAAAAAATCGGGTCATTCCATTTGACTTTCCAAAGTTACCCCCCGTTTCACCCTTAAGGAGGGGTAGGGGGTGGCTAGCGGTAGCACCAAATAATGTCCCCTTTAGTCACATTAACCTTTTATTTAAGACATTTTTCCGTGAAATGCGTATTTCTCGAGATATTGAGATATTGAGCTGTCTATTGTTAAGTTAAAAGAAACACCCTGTATATCTCCATTATTCGAGCTAAACTGGTAAAACCCCTTAAAGGATTTGTTTTGGGGGTTGCCTAGATTCGATTTTTTCAGATTTGATCCCAGTTCATTTTTGTGTTGCACAGTGTAATGCATTTTGTTGAGTTTTTTTGTAATATTTTATCAATTCCACTGTAAAAGTTATTCAAATTATAATTTGGTGGTCTGTAAAAAACCAACAAATTAATTTGTAGTGGATTACAGTCTTCTAAATCAGTAAAATTAAAAGAACTTATGTTAAATGTTAATTCATTTTTTATGTAAATGGCTGTTCCTCCACCTCTTCCATTTCTAGTATTATGAACAGCTTGATAATTTTGAATGTTGCAATAAACTTCTTCGCCAGGATTTATCCATGTTTCTGTTAAAACTAATATTTTAATTTCATTTTTAGTGGTTCTTAAAAGAGTTTCAATTTCATGCATTTTGTTTTTACAGCTTCTAATATTTATATACAATAATTCTAATTTATCCATTTCTTTGTTTGTTTATTTACTATTTTTTGCATGTTGTTTAATATAGATGAACTAAAAACCATTTATACTGTAAATTTGTTTTGGTACGTCACTATCATTTTTTATTATAAATATTTTACCATCAACACAAAATGCTCTTTTAATTTGTTTATCTTTAGCTAGTTTTCTGGCTTCTTTAAACAGTTGTTGGTTTAAGATTGTTAGATCATCATTTATATAAAAAAAATTTGTAGGCCCTTGAAGGCTACACTCACTTGTTTTTAAACCTTTAATTTCTTTTATTTTTTTAATTATATTTTTCTTAAGTTCAACTGTCTTAAATTTTGCCAATATTGGTGCATTTTCAGCTTTATTAATTCTATAGCATTTATCCAAATCTTCAGAATTGATTTTTACGCCTAAACCTTCTCCAATTTTGAACATAATATCATGAACATTACATTCTTGTTTTTCAATTCCTGATCAAATAATATTTTTTTCTTTAGAAACTTGTTCTTGGATATTAATTTTATGTTCCAGTTGCTGTATTCTGTTAATTAAACCAGTATTTTCTTCTTTAATCATTTTTACTTCATTTATGGCACCAGTAGATATGACTTTAATTTCATCAAAACAGTCCGACATGAATTGTACTGTTTTTTTTATCTCATTAATTTCCTCACGGTAACTTGATTCCAATTCTTGTTTTAGCAGGGTTAGATGCTTTATTAACATTTTTTCCACAACAATTTCCAACTTCTTTTGTACATCCAGGTTAACCTCACTTTCATGCGGCTGACAACAAACAATCTTTTCTTGATTATTAATGACTCCACCCGCTGTTGCACAACTTGGATAAAAGGCAGCATTGCATACTGTGCAATGCACCGGTCGCATCACTTTACCATTACAATATTTACATATATTTTCCATTTTTAATATCGCACTTAAAAATCACAACTGCCGCGATTATAACCTCAAATTAATATATGTCTAAATTTAAATAAAACCAAGGTATCTACATTTTATTACATCTTTTATTAAAAAAAATATATAAATTTAAATAATACCTACATACTTTAATGTCTTAATTATAACAAAAACTTCTATAATAAAAAAATAGTGCATTCAAAAAAAACATTATAAATGATAAAAGCTCCATAATTATAGATAAATATTACGATTGATTTGTTTAAATAATAATGATAAATAAAATAATAAAACTATTTTTGAGAAAAAAAGTTTGAAACAATAAATGTATTCTAAATATTTTTCAATTTCTGGCACAGCATATGCTCCTCGAGTATTTTTCTGAAAAGGAGTGCTAATAATCTCTTTTATGTCATGATATTCGTAAAAAAATGTCATCCTTCTTCTCTGGCAATTTCTAAAAGGCACCACTTTTTAACATTACCGACTTTTCTTTTTCTTCGGCCTATCTGTTTTCTTTTACTTGGGTCACCTTTCCTGGAAAATACCTGTTCTCGTACTGAACGACTACAAAAACATATTTTTTAAAGTGACATCGTTTAATGATTGGTGGAATTACATGAAGTAATATTTTTGATCATTTGTTCTTTAACTTGAACTTTTTTCTTCATTAACTTACTGTTCGTTTCTTTTTTTTTTGTTACTTTTACTTGTTTTGTTTGATTCAGATGTTTGGTTAATAGCTTTTTTTCTTTAACTCTTCTCTTTTCTCTTTACGTTGTTCATTCTGTAAGAGTAAATCGTTTTCCTTTTCTTTTTCTTCGGCCTATTTTAGCCACTTATTTGATGTCAACACACTAGGCATAATTTTTCTTTTTGAGTTAGTCGCTATCGGATAAATTAATATATCAGATATATAGAATATTAATGTTTAGTTTAGTATTAACTATAATCTACAACTCAGTTGTCACAATATTTCCTTCTTTCTCATCAATTTTAGTTTGTCAGTTTCTTCTACTAAGACAGCTTTTTTGTTTTCCTTAATCGCAGTGTCTTTGATTTCTTCTCCCTTAGCTTCTTTGGTTTCCTCTATGTGTGTTTTCTTTCATCTTTGTGTTTAGTATTTATTTCATCCTTTGGTTACTGTTTAGTTTCTGAGTTTCTTTGATTTTTTCTCTTTCAGTTTTATTTTTGAAATTTTTATTCTTTTCTTACAGATTTTGTAATTTTTTCTGTCTCACTTATTCTTCTTTTTTATATTGTATCGTGATTCTCATGTTTATTCTCATTGTGTATATTACCACTAGCATAGAGTTTTTGTTCATAGGTATTTTTGTCTCTTGCTTGTATTGTTTCTTCTACCGTGGCTATCTCTGCTTTTTTCCTATTTTTTTCTATATTATATAAAATTGTAATTGTTAGGTAGTGCATAATCAAAATATATATTTTCTTCTTTGAGTATGTTATGTAGAGTTAGCAAACTCAGGAAATGAAAATTCGATGATATCGACTGAGACTTGCAACCCATTTTGGTCTTGACTCTATAAAATCGTAACTGGGATATTCTCTAAATTGGAATTACTGATGGGGATGTTTTCTTTTTCGTCCAATTTAAAAGCAAGTCATACATATTGTGACGATGAGAAATTTCAATCTCGATGATTGCGACTATTTGGCGACGTATGGTTTAAAAGCGAAATTTACATTTTAACAGCAACCATATAACTTATATTCATCATCCTAATATAACAGGGTTGTAAATGGTACTTAGAACCATAACATAACAAAGTTCTATCTGCATTTGCATAGCAATGCAATGCTATACAAAATTTTTACAGTAACTAAGCGAAAAAATTTAAAAACATTACGTTGGCAATATTAAGGTAGTGGTAACCTATATAGGTATATTAAAAAACAGGCAAGCAAGTTTTGACATTATTTTCCTTAATATGGTGTAGTGTCAGTTACTGACGAATCGTCATTGAAATCAGTGAGCTCGAACGATTGGTTGTCACTCTCAAAATCCTGGATAATTTTCTTGAAGACTGTTCGTTTTGTTTTCGTTGATGACTTCAAATTGTCTTTCCTTCGTTTTTCTATGTATCTTGCCTTCTCCATTTTAGGTGTAGCCGTGTATATCTTTAATTTACATCACGTTCTCCATTTCTTGTTATTTTGTCTATTAGCTTTTGGCAGAGGTTTAATATCTTCTTAAAATAATTTGCAAGTTTGCTTGTCATTTCCCTTTTTTACAGTAACAATCTTAAATTCGGCGTCGGCATTAGTTAAAGTGTTAGGCCCTACATTATTAGATCCATTTTTGTCATGCTCAAATTTTTCATCAGTTTTCATACTTTCACTGAGGTCTCTGTTGGTAACTGAACTGGCTGCAAAATCGTTCTCGCTGAAGGCTTGATGAATAACTGGCCAAATACCAGGCTTCTTAAACACATTAATAATGTTTGACATAGAGAAGGCTCTGCTAAATGCTATATTTGATAGTTCACTCAAATTGCCTGGATAATAGCATCCAATCGTTAAATGCTACAGATATTGACCCCTTAAACGGACCAAACAAACCAACATCGAAAGGCTGCAAACGATGTGTGGTATGTGGTGGGAAAAGGGAAAGCCGATATTTTTGCAAAACTTGATCGAATCCTACGACACGTGTAATTCGTCATTATTTAAGAGGAGGATAATCAGATGCTCCTTACTGCAAAGAGAGTAAGTCTTTTTATGTACCAATACATTCGTAAATAATTCCTTAGTCATCCACTTAGACTTGTTGTTCAAGATTTGAGATGATGCAGTGGTTCCGATTATATAGTTTGCGGGATTTCTCATTTGAACAACTTTAGCTGGCGGAAGAGCTTTCCCGGCAGCATTGATGATTTCCACAAATGTAACTAGCTTTTTGCAGATGAAATTTGGCCAACCTGTTTTTTTTTTCCTTTTCAGCAACTTCACGTGGAGGTTTCATAACAGTGCTTATACCAGATTGATCTATATTATTGGTATGTTCTGATTTTACTTTCAATTTTCAAAAAATTCATCTATTCTAGGTTTGTTAAAACCAGTAGATCGTAGAAGGCTAGTACTTTCGGGTCTACGAAGGCTTAGTGTGGGATGACCATAAACCCAAGGCCCCCAGGCCATAATGTAGAGCGAAATATTTTTTAATGTATTTTACAAAAAAAATTTCTTTAGAGACCGAAAAAACTTGTATAACAGAATATTAACTTTGAAACCTTTTTTCTTCTTCATCATCGGTAGACATTCCAGAGTCAGTAGATTTTATGTTATATGTTTCTTTCCTTTTTTTTACAGATTTGATTCTCGACACAAGCGTATCCATTTTTATATAATAAAGGCGTGCAGCCTCCCGTATGGACGTATTTTTTTTAAAACAATCTTGCAATGCCAGTTAACTCGCATTCTTATCTACTGATCGTCTTTCCAACATACACTCTAGGCATCTATAAAACTTTGAACTTATACAATTTATATAAGTTTACCTACAATTTTTTTTATTAATGGGGTACATTGAACCGGTTAAAACTACCCCGTATGTATTGGTTGAATGTACCCCACACTACCATAATATATAAAGCCGGCTTTTTCGTTATATTGTATCTACGAAAAATAAGAAAAATATATGTTAAAACAATAGCCGTAATAAAAATTTCACATCAAAACATCCATGAGTATCAAACAATGAATCCCAAAGCAAAATCTTACCTTTTTTATAGCAATTTCGTACTTTTCTCACATAATATGTTGTTAAGTGCAGCGCACATTATGCATTGTTAAAAAGAATATAAGAACAATTGCTAATTAGACCCGTTAGTTACGTCTGCTGACTAGGCAACCAAGTTTACCTCGGACGGGATTATACATTATACCGGCACTTCTCTTCCAATTTTTGTTGTGAATACATTGTTAAAAATAAATTAATTAAAAAGTTCAACTGTTTTAATTTAACAAATTAAGAACTCAAAACTGGCGCTGTGAAACTGGATTCTCATCAACGAAAATCATTAGAATTTTTGGTTTGTTTCTACAATTTATGGTGAAACCGGACTCATCAACAACAATGAAGAAAGTCACCCGTCTTCAACCTGCCAACCTGTTTGTACACACTCTGTGATTTTGTGGATACGTAGTGGACTGTATTTTGCAATTTGCAATAGTTGCAATAGTATATTACTAATTTTTTAATTAATTTATTTGCTTAAACAACGCATCTATGCTCTGCGAAGAATTAAAGCAGACTCACAATTTGGCGGTAAACCTACAGCAGGCAGATTCCGCCACTGTCGTATCAAAACATTGATTAAAAAACTTAAGCCTAAACATAACCGGCGGCATTGAAAGCACTGCCTTTCAAAACAAACAATGGTTATATGAAACTTTCAGGTACCCCTTTTTTAATTGTCTATTGGTAACGCACATACTTTAGCAACTGATCGTTTTATCAGTCCTTTTCCTGTCTTTATACTGACCACTCGCACTACAGTATTACTGTCAGGATGAACAGCTACTATTCTTCTCATCTTCCAGGAAAGTGAAGGGGAGCTGTCTTCTTTCAGCAGCACCAAAGTTCCAACCTCGATGTTCGAATTGGCATATCGCCATTTGCTTCTTTGTTGCAAAATGTGAAGATATTTTTGGCTCCAACGTGACCAAAAGTGCTGGTACATCTGCTGTAGATGATGGATCGAATCAATCGATTCCAAGGAATATTGGAGGAATTGTTGACTTGTGGTATGGCATTTAATTGTTGCCTAATCAGAAAGTGCCCAGGAGTCAGGGATTCGGGTCAGTTGACAGTGCAAAAAGAGGTCGGGAATTCATGACTGCTTCAACCTGATTCAGGAGTGTTTTAAACTCTTCATAAATAAGATTTGCATTTTTTATAACTCTGTCTAAATGATATTTTGTCGAATTTACCGCGGCTCCCCACAATCCGTCAAAATATGGTCTAGCTGGTATAAAATGAA